TCTTTCTCCTTACCTTTATCCTTGCGTTTCTTTGGTTGATCTTTGGCAAGGGGTTGATCTCGAGGAGTAGGGCGGGCTTTAGCCAAGTCTGGAACATGATCCAGATGAGGATTTCGGTGTTCTTCAGTCGAGGTACCGCCAAGAGCTCATTGTCTCAAACCCTGACGATAATTCACACTAAGTCCCCTTTGAGTCATTATACCTACAATGAAAATAAGAAGTCAAATCAATATAATTCGGTGTCCAAATTATGCATTAAAAAGACAAAGCATATCATCCATATCAAAGCGAGGTTGGGGGACTTCAACAGAAGGATAAGGGCTCAGATAGAAGCTCCCTAGGAAGAGATTTCAAATATTCCAAGGCTGATAACTCTTCCACTAACAACATTTCTTCTGGAAACACATCATACCAGCGAGATACTCAAGTCCAGTGAAAAGAGAAAAGAGGTTTGTTTTCATTATCAAAGAAATATTTTTACTAATAGGGTGGACGATTACTTTAAAGTAGCTGGTTTTAAAGCCCTTAAACGAGGAAGTATAGGGCTTAAAAAGTGACAGTTTGGCCTCCCTTATTAATGATACCCACCTTGCCTTATTCGAAGGACGGGTACAGAAAAAATGAAGAAATAAACCTACGCTAGGCTCTATATAATGAAATTTACACAATTTTGAATGCTTGCATCACTGCCCACCCATTTAAATGAAGTTGTGTCAACGCAACATTCAAAACCCTCAACGCACCCATTTGAAAATCATCAAAATGAAGTTTTATACCTAGTTCCCTAAACATACACTCATATACAAAGAAGGTGTCGACCATCTCAACACCATCCCCCAAAAATACCAGTTCAAGATTACTAGAGCCATCCCCTCTGCAAATATTATTAGTTATAGGATAGGGATCTGAAGCCTCCCATAGTGATATATCACAATGGTCTACAAAGGCTTAAAGTTGTTTATTTTGTTGGAAGCATGAGAAATACACGGCTACTTCACCGTCCACCCATAGTGACAACTTCAGAGAGAAATGACACGACTAGGAAGCTACGTGTAGCTACTATCATTTTCATAGTAGCTACTATGGACGACGACCACTTTACTACAAATTTCACAATCCGTCTGTAAGTTACAGACAGAAAAATCTGTCTGTAAGTTACAAACGAAAAAATTCGTCTCTAAGTTACAAACGGATTCCGTTTGTAATTCCTTCTATATGATTTCGCGTCAAATGGCGGGTAAACTACAGACGAATTTTACAGATGAATTTTGATTCATCTGTATTACAGACAGATTTTGATTCATCTGTATTACAGACAGATTTACAGACGGTTTTTTCAGAAAATAAAAAAATATCCACAAATCCGTCTATAATTACGTCTGTAATACAGACAAATTTTGATCCGTCTGTAAAATCCATCTGTATATACCGCTTTTCTAGTAGTGGGTTGAATGAGGGGGACATTTCTTAATTAACCCTAATTTATTTTAATGAGATTCTAAATTTGAATTACTTAATTCTGAGTTTATTTTTAAGGTTACGTAATCTTGGGATGAGAGATTGGAGTCCATTGAATTTCTTAATTCGTATAGAAACATAAGGTTGATTTTCGCTTGTTAAATTAACCTAATTCTGGGAGGAGAGGAAGAGTATTAAATCTTGAGAGAAATAGGGATAGAGTCTACATGAATGAACTAGGGGATACTACATTTTATCGATTGAACTTTGTAATTTAATTTTTTGCTTAAGTTAATTGAACTTGAAATCACAAAACTCTCTTTTTTATTTGCTTTCTGAATACATTGCATACTACATGTTTGATATTTGGTTACTCATCCAATGATTCATAGGAGACGACCTACGTTACCACCCTAGTATTGGCTGACAATGAATCCTCCCACTTGATGGAATAGGCCATAAGTGAATAAGAAAAGAAGATAAGGGCAAAATAAAATAAGCGTACCTTAAAAAATTTCTAGAAAGAAGAAAGAAAGCTTCTAACAATATAGTAGAATATACCCCTCTGTTTAGAGCAGAAAGTGTATGAGATACCTGGACCACCACATATTTATAGGACATATGGTTTTAGGAAGATGAAGGGTCACACCCTTCCCCAACCATCAGATCTGCTTTAGAATTAACGGATATGAACAACCAACATTTCATTTCAAAAGCACAAACCACGAGGAAACCCTAATTTCTAGAGATCCTTAAATATCAATGTATTAAGCCAAAGATATACTCGGTCTTAACACCATAGAAAGGAACCTGACTACCTATTTGGCTAAACACCAACATATTTTAAAAATTGAATACTTTATCGATAAAGCTAACCATACCATTCTCACCTAAAAGAAGAATCATGGCACCGACAGGGTCAACAGACCTTATAAGTCCTTATGTTGTACCTCTTCAGGCTTGGGAGCTAGTGTACTGAATAAGGCATTACTCGGCCATTATGGCAGAAAAAGAAATTCGAGTACCCCCCTCAGCATAAGGACGAACACCCAGTTAGGTTAAGATAAATTAGACATATTGAAACAGATTAAGGTAGATAACTATTAATTATGTATTTAAACAGAAGGCCTAAAACAGGGCTGAGTCATGCCCATTAGTCCAAAATACTATCTATAAAAGGAAAGTAAGAAGTACATGTAAATGATTGACTTTCGAATATTTAATAGCATTTACTGCCTATACCGACACCTGACTTTATCATCAAAGTGCCTTTTGCAGGTACATCCCTCCAACGTCATCATACAGAAGAGAGTTAGAGATACTTGCAAGGACATCATCATACAGGACAGAAGAGGAGTTTCTGGAAGACCAGTATATCCCCAGCAAGAACAACAAGAATAGCTAATGTATAAAATGTAATGTGTTAAACATGTAATAGTCATAATTAGGGTTGGGCAAAAAATTCAGTTTTATAAGTCCAATTCATAACCAATGTTAAATTGGTTTTAAAAGTTTAGTTTAATGTAAAACTGATTTTTTTATTAACTATATTTGTGTAACCAGTTTAGTGTTCTAAATCTACTTTCTAAAATCAGATTATTTATTTATTCAAATCCATATGTATGGAGTTACTATCTTATGTCTTTATTTATTAAATCGTTGCGCTATATCATTTCACAAAATTTTATCCTGACTACGTTTTATGACTAATATTTTTTTATTAATATTAATTCTTATGATTAAAATTAAATATTTAAAATAATATTTTTAAATTAATTACTACTATTGTTTTTATATTTATGTTTATTTTTAAAATAACATAATAATTTTATTATTATTTATATTATTAATTTTTATTTCTATAGGTTTTAATTTAATTTTTTTATTAACTCTATTTATTAAAAATAAGTTAAAAATAATAAATACTTTATAAAATTCTATAAAGTATAATATAATTAATAAATATTACTAAAATCTTCTTAAAATACATTAATTTAATGCAACAATGCATATAATAAATTAATTTTATCTCAAAAATTAAATTCACAAAATTTACAAATGTATTGAAAATCAATTTTACCTTAAAAATTAAATTTAAAACTGGATTTAAAATTAATTTAATGTAAAAATAAAATTAAAACTATTTAAAAAAATAAATTTAAGATTGATTTTAAACTAAATTTTAAAATTTAAAACTATTTTTAAACTGATTAAAAAATAAAATAAAAATTTAAAATTTAATTCGTATAATTAATTTGTGTGTTGGATAAATAATAAAAGGTAGAATATATGTATACATTTATTAGTTTAATATAATATAAAAATAAAGAAAATGATATTATTAATAGATTAAAATATCTGTAAATATAATTTTATATTAGTTATTATAAAATTTAATATTTTTTAATATAATAATTTAATATTAATATAAAAATATTTATAGTATATTTTTACTAAAATTAAAATCAGTTTTAAACCAAATCTAAATTTTAAAATTAAATTTAAATTAATTTTAAAAAAATTAAAATAAATTGGTTTAAAATTCAATTTATATAATTAAATTTTAAATAAATTTAGATTAATCTTTTAAAAATCTAATTCATGCACATCTCTAAGTCATAATAATACTATCCAATAAAGTGTATAACTACGTAACAATGATAAAGTCACAATTAAGCTATTATATAAATTTATTTTAATGTATTTTAATAATAAATTACTTGAATTTGTTAAAAATATTGTTTAAAAGTTATTAGTTAAAATATTTTGTAATTTTAAATCTACATTGAAATAATTGTTAAATTTAAATAAAATTATTATAAATTTAACTAATTTGTATTATTTTTAATTTTTTAAGACAAAAAAATAGAATAAAAGAAAATCTTGAATAAACCAATAAATTATAAAAGTTAGATAAAAGATAAAATATTTTAATACTTAATCACAAAAAAGAGTAATTAAAATAAAGTAACAAGTATTTTCACGCTCATTTAAAATAAAAATAAAAATAAAAATAAAAATAAAAATAATTTAAGACTCTAAACATTTGAACACTTAAAAGCTAGAACAACTTCAATGAGGTAAAATATTAAAGATAAAATAAAATATTTGATTTTTAAAGTCTAAAATTTTAATATTATGATAAACTTTTTTTTATAGTTTTGTTAATTTTTAATCTTTAAGGCTGAGTTTACATTTATAAATAAATTTTTTTATAAAAAATATATAATTATTGTATTAAAATTATAAAAATATAATAAATATTTTTTAATAAAATATTGTTATTATTATTATTATTATTATTATTATTAGTTTATCTTCGATTCTAAAAATTGACATCAATAAAATTTTTATTTTATATTAAATTCAGTTTTGACTGCTCTATTCTGAAAGAAAAATTTTCAATAAAAATATCAGGAGAAAAAATATTGAGTTGAAGTTATTTGAAGTAGGAAATAATCGTATTTCAAAATATGTTATGGACTGAAATGATAATTGTGTGTCTTGAACCAAATATTAGGCCCCGAAAATAAGAGGATACAAAAGAGGCGTGTCCCATGTTACTTTCTCACTGTTCCTTCACACACAACACCTTCCGTTTAGTCAACCAAATTCTTCTTTCTTCTCTCCCTCTATCCTCCACGTGCTCTTCCTCTTCTTGACTATTAGCCTATACAACACACCACACACTTCCTTTTCTCCTCTCTCTGAAAACAGGGCACTTCCAAGTTTTTGTCTTTCTTCTCTTCTCTTCTCTTCTCTTCTCTGCTCTGGGGCAGTTAAATGGATCAAGGAAGAGATTTTGCACTTACCCAGATGAGGAAATCCATTGAGAATCTTGGCTCTTCTGCGGAGGTACCAATCTGTTCATTTCTCACTTTCTTGTGTAATGTAATGTGCAACCCAGCTCTATGTTCCAACTTCAAGCTTCTTCATACATCTTAGTTGATAGATAAGTAAATAAACTCTTGCAGGGGTATGGGGACCCTTCAATGATGAGGTTCTTGATTGCTAGATCAATGGAGGTGGACAAAGCTGCAAAGATGTTTGTGCAATGGGAGAGATGGAGGGCTGCTATGGTGCCCAATGGGTTCATTTCAGATTCTGAAATTCCAGACGAATTGGAAGCTAGAAAGATATTTTTGCAGGGCCTATCTCAGGATAAATACCCTGTGTTGATTGTCCAAGCATGCAGACACTTTCCTTCCAAGGATCAGATTCAATTCAAGAGTAAGCCTTCTGTAAATTTTATTTTATCAAAATGGTTATGTACTGTGTCAACCTAGGGCTGGTTTTGAACAATTAAAAGTAAAAAACCTTCATTAAAAAATAAATATTTACTATATAATAAAATATATATTTAATATTTTTTTAATGACATGAAATAATCTGTAAAATACTCAAACAAATAATTTTATTAAAAATTTATTTGTAATATAAAATATAAAATATAAAATTATGCAGTTTATGTCTTCTGCTGTTTGGATTGGAAAGTTTGATGCTAGTGGGGGGACCATGGCGAATATTCAAGAGAGAAAAGTCACCCGACTTAAATATAAGTTCAGTTGGTTCATGTTCTTTGACCTTTTGTTTTCCTGTATGGAATTAAATAAACTACATTATTGTCCTCAAAATCCAAATTCTTGGATATGCCACTTAGGAACAGATCATTATAAAGGTTTTGTGGCAGGGGACCTGGCCCCGTTAATTTAAATAATCAAATGATTTATATATGACATTAAATCAGTTGTGATGTACCCAAAAACAATCATTTGGGGGATTTAGTGGTGTTCATTGGTTTGTATATATACAAGCCCTAAAAATTTATATTTATATGGGTATTAAATTAATGATTTATTTGACAAGTTTTTCAATTTGGGTCCTTACACAAAAAAAAAAAAAAAAAGTTAGGCTTTAATTTTTACACAGTAAATGTTTTTAAATTAGTCTTTATTGATATGCATCGATCATGTTAGACAGAGGACCACAACATTAAAAAAAAACTTGTATAAAACTTAAGGCTTTGTGTGGGAGTTAGATTTAAGAGGGAAGGAGAAGGATTAGAAGGGGTTTAATTTTGTTTGAGAGTTACTTAATTAGGAGGAGAAAGTTTTGGGAATTTTTTAAACCTTTAAAAACTTGTTTTTTGAGTTCCTTCATTTTGAAGTTTTCTCTCCCTCACTCTTTTATACTATTTCACAAATAGGATTTTTTTTTTTTTAAATATTAGTTTTTCAAATGGAAATTTTTTTTAAAATATTTTAAAAATAAAAATATTAATTTTAAAATTATTTATATAATTAAATCTCCTATCACTCTCCCTTTTCAATATTAAATATCCAAACAAGGGAAGGGTTTAACCTCTTTCCCCCTTCCTTCCCTTTCTCTCCTTCTCCCTTTAAACCCTTCCCCTTACTCTTCTTCTCCCTCCAAACTCCCAAATAAAGTCTCGATAAACCATTTAATTAAATTATATAGTTTTACTTCAAAATATAAATGAAAATAAAAATTGGATTATCATAAATTAAATTTCTTTCTGATCCTAAACCCTTAAGTTAAAAAATCTTCTATTAAAATACAATACTACAAATAATTTAAGTTTTTTTGTTTTATGATATTAGATATCTTAAATATAGTTGTCATTTGATCCAAGATTTCTTTGACTTTATTTATATTTTATCTTGTTATAGGTTCTTTAAATTTTTGTAAAAGGTTCAGTCTGTCAATTTTTTTTCATTCTTCATCCTTATTACTTGATAGTTCTCATTACTAATAATTAAGTTTATTTTATTTTATAAGATTTTATATGTCAGGTTAAGTTTAAGCATATAAAAGTTACTAGTTTTATTGAGAAATAATGTATACACTGTATTCATGTTATAAAAGTGAAATAAATGTTTTTCCTTCAATAAAATTTTACTATAATAAGTTGTTTAACTTAATCCTACGGGTTAAAATTAATATTTTTAATTTTTAATTTTTATCATATTTTTAAATGAATGAATAAAATATCATCGTTAATGTTTGTATTATAATTTTTATTGTACAACAATTGTTTTAGAATTTTTCAAAATGACTTTTTTTTATAAGAAAAAAATATTTACTATTTTTAGAATATAAAACTACACTAGATACAAGTTTGTTTAAAGATATAAGTTTTTAGTCTCTTAGTATTTTGTGATTTTTTTATTTATTTTCTTTTTTTCTAAACAAGTCTAATTTCATTTCTAGTTAAAACATACATCTAATTATTATAAATGTACAATAAATATTTTTTAATAAAATTTTATTATAATTAGTTGCTTAACTTATTTTCAAAGGTTGAAATTAATTTTTTTTATTTTATATTCTTGTCTTTTATCATGCTTTCAAATTAATAAATAAAGTATAGTGTTATTTTTTCATTATAATTGTTGTTGTACATCATTTATTATATGATATTTTAAAAAAATTAATAGAAAAGAAAATATTTACAATAGTTGAAATATAAAACTACACTGAATATTAGTTTAGTTGAAGATATAAGTTTTTAGTTTGATACCTTTTTTTTTTATCTAAACAACTCTTTTTTTGGTTTGTTAAAGACACATTTGATCCTTATAATTAAAACTTATTTATAAATTATTTCATACAATTAAAAATTTATATTTTAATCTTTATACAAATATTTTTTTACATTTTGACTCCTTCTATCTAACATCATTAATAGAATTTTAAACGGTAAGAACTAATTAAAAAATGTTTACTCACATAAAGATTAAATTATAATTTTTTGTGTATAAATCAAATTAAAAAAAAATGTATTAAGAATAAGGAGTAAAGTTATAATCTAATTCAAATATGTTGTCTATTTATATTGATATTATTATTATAAATAAAAGCATGTTTTTAAGAGCAAAATGTTTGTTGTAACGGTTGACATATGAAAAATCAACAAAAAAGTGAGAATCATTTAATTAAGGATTTTTGTTAATCTAGTCTTAAATTTTATTAAAAAATATTTATTATAATTTTATAACTTTAATACAATAAATATATTTTTTATAATTTTTTTTATTTATAAATACTTAAAATCAGACAGAGGTTAAGAAAATTCTAATATAAAATTGTGGTATGGATTATTTAGACCGGCGGTGGTCGTGGTATCTATAGAAGTTGTCTCTCTACTTCGTTCAATCATTGAAAACTGGTCCAATTGTCTCCTAATATTAATGTGTCTTTTCCTTTCATCTCTATCTTGCAAAGGATAAAGTGCAACTATAGTCATTGATAAGAGACTTGGCAGTTAAGTTTTAATAATTTCGGAATTTTTTATATATGCATTTTATCAAAATTTCAATCATCAATTTTCTAATCAACAATTGTGACTGCACTTAATTTTTAAAAGTGTATTCGTTCAATTTAGAGGAGTTAGATCCCGAAACTTGTAATGGGTGATGGGTTATGTTTGAAAGTAGATGGAAATAGTTATGGTTTTAACGAGGATAGAAAGTTATTATTTTTATTTGGGACAATTAATTAATAATATTTTTTATAATTTATAATAAGTTTAGAGAGAAAATAAAACTGCACATATTTCTATTAAAAATTATCTAAATGATATTTACAATTAAGGAAATTGATTTTGATAGATTAATATATAAAAATGATGCATATGATGCAAAACAATACAAAATAAATGTACACAATATGCTTAAGAATAAATGAAACTCTAACTCCTATCAGTAAACATTTAGAATAACGATGAAACTCACTTTAAGTTTGAGTATAAAATCAATATGTCCATTGTGAATTGCACTCTCAATTCATCCAAATGAAGTATTAAATGCATAAATAAATTATGCAATTCTCATGCAAAACTAAAATAGATCAAACAAATTCAGTTCATTTCACTAGTCCTCTTTGCATGATCTAAATTGATACAGTATTAAAATATAATGCTTTAGCAATCTTCCCTAATTCCTAATTAGAAAAATCTCATGTTTCAGCGGAATTTAACTAAGAACGATATATGCAGTAGGAAATGTTAGCAACTACAATGTAATTTCATTCTTACATCTAGACAATACAAAAGCAAGGAAGACTTCACTTCAAATATGAACATAAAACCAATATGTCTATTGTGATTAATAATACATTCATTCAAATAACATAAATTAATTGATGCATTAAGAATAAGAGTAATTCTTTGCAAAGTGTTACAAATTTTGAATTAAATTTAACTGTAAAAGAATTACATAAAGTTTAACCTAAAATTTATCCTACAACAATTCAAAAACACATATGAATAGAAATAATACAACAACATTATGACGATAGAAGAAAATTCTATGAAAAATTTGAAAAAATACAAAAAGTCTGTCAAACCTCTAAAGAAGAGAGAATAATTTAAATTTAAGAAAATTCTTAAAATGAAAAATATGAATTTATGATGAAATATGAAATTTGGTCCCATGACATCTATTTATATACTTTAAAGTCATGTTAGGTGTTGTGATGCTGGAATGGACTTTGAAACGCTTGAAAGCTTTTGTTTAGCCTTCTGTAGAAAAAACCAATGTTGCAATGCTGGAAGCTAGCATTAAAATGTGCATTATTTTCAGGTTGTTCAAGCTATGAGCATTGAAATGCCTAGTTGTCTGCTAAAACTCTTTTTCTCTGTAAATGGACATTGAAACACTCAATCCGAGCATTGGAATGCTCAACTTGTTCAATTTTTGTAATTTATCGGCTTTTATAAGATATTTTTTATTCCAAATTATCCTATAAACAAATTAATTTAATTTATAATAATTTTACTTAAAAATTACAATTATTTGATAATTTTGAATAAAAATCTCACAGTTTTAATTTATAAGTTTTAAACAATATCTTAATCAAATTCAAGTAAATTAATTTTAAAAATATATTAGAATATGATTAAATATTAGCTTAACTGTGACTTTATCACACCACAAACTTAACTTTTATCATACAAAATTAAAAGTTTAACCTAGAAAATCTTGAAATACTTTAGAAACACATATTAGCAAAACAATACAATAATGGTTGAAGAAAATTTCACATAAAATTTGGAAAGACACAAGAAAGTCTCACAAATTTTTAAATAAGAAAAAATCTAAATTTAAGAAAATTTCTAAAATGAAAAATCTGAGTTTATGATAATACATGATAGTTATGTGAAATTTGACTCCCACAATATCTATTTATAGACTTTAGAGTCATGTTAAACGTTGAGATGCTAGAATTGACATCATAACACTTGGAAGTCTTTATTCATCCTTTTACAAAGTGCGCATTATTCTTAGGTTACTTGAGTCATGTGCAGTGAAACACTAGAACCGGTATTAGAACCCTCACCTGTGTGCTAAAACTAAGTCCATATGTAAATGGGTTCTGAGCATTGAAATGCTTAGTCTTTTATCTAGATTTTGTAACAAGACATTCTCAATTTCAAATTGTCCTATAAAATAGAAAAAGCCCAACTTAATTTTATTTATAATAAATTTACTTAAAAATTACAGTTATTTGATAATATTAAATAAAAATTTCACAATGTTCTAATTTATAATTTTTAAACAATATTTTAATTAAATTTAAGTAAATTAATCTAAAAATATATATTAAATAGAATTAAATATTAGCTTGATTGTAATTTCATCTTCGGTCACATTTAGTACGAAACAGTCACTGAAATTTTGGAGTTTCTTTACCGTAAATAGTGTGTATCATTGCACTGGTATATGACATGCTGAAACTAGTTGTTTTTATGGCCTTTGGTGCTCGTATGAGAATCCTTTGGTGCTCGTAAATAGTGTGTGTATCATTCTCTGGTTCTGTGTTCATATTTCATAATGACAACCATCTAACTGACAACTCTGTTTTGTTCATGGATTCAGAATATGTTGTATATCTACTGGACAAGACAATTGCAAGGTACTATCTAATTTATTTTATGAATTCTCATTGTATGCCTTGTTCAAAGCGAAGATTGACACATTGAATTTGGGGCAAATCGAAAAATAGGAAGCTGAATTCAACTTTGATAAAAAGTTACTTTGATGGTAGCTGCGTGGCATCTTGTTAATAAGCACTAAGCAATTTTTCATATTGGTTAATCATGTACATTGTGTGTTATGGAAACATGAATGAAGGTGAAGGCCTATAAATGATGAAGTAAAAAGGAAGTATTATCAAGAGATAGAATGCATTATGCAACTGAGGTGACAATAACATACCCTTAAGAGCTAAAGAACATAGACAGATTGTGTCTGAGTCAGAAAGAATAAATCCCTTTTCCTGCATTTTCTCACTTACCCCATGCTATCTCTTGATTCATCTAAATATTCAAAAATTATTAAGTGAGAATTCTTATTAGGTGACTTTTGATTTCATGTTTTGTTACAATATCTTTGCTTCACTAGAGAAAAAATAAAGGCAGTTCATCTGTATTTCATCTTCATCCCTCCTAACAGCAATATAGGTTTTGTTATCAAATAGTAATTTTCATCTGTGTTGTGTGTTCTATTTTCTTTTCCTTATAGAAAATTTAGAATTAATTTTTGATTAATTTATCTTCAGTGCTTTCAAAGGAAGGGAGATAGGAAATGAAAAGTTGATTGGAGTTCTTGATCTGCAGAAAATTTCATATCAAAACATTGACGCACGTGGGTTAATCACTGGGTTTCAATGTTTACAGGTACTTTCTTTGTGTTTTTCCTTGAAATTTTCATGCATATCATAAATGCCTGTATATAAAATCACACCTTATCATTTTTTAGTTTTTTCCTGTCAAAATTAATGTTTATATCATGTCTGAATTAGCATCTATTTAATGGCCCGAATCAATACTTAATAGAAAGGTAAATACTGCATATATTTTAAACTCTTTTTTATGGTTTTTGGTTGAACTGCAGGCTTACTACCCTGAACGTTTAGCAAAATGCTATATTTTACACATGCCATGGTTTTTTGTGACTGTTTGGAAACTAGTTTCTCGCTTCCTAGAGAAGGCTACACTAGAAAAGGTACGTTAGCTATCTTAAGTTGAAAATTTATGCTTGTGTACAATTCTGATTCATTGACTATATGCATGATATCTTTTTAAAGTTCCCAGTATTCAGTCTCATTGGGTAAGAATTCTGGTCATTTATTTCTTTCGAATGGGAATTGGGGAAAATGGTCTCAATGCAGACCAAAACCCAACACTTGGTAGCGGTGATGATTTAACTGTTCAAATGCTGGTTTCTTGAGCTAAAATGGGGGGGGTGGAGGGGGTGTGACATCTCACCAAAAGCCATGACTTACATCGGTATACATCTTCTAAACAGTGTTATTTATTTTCCTGCCTAGGCCATCTTTGGGTGAATATTTTTTTTTCACAAACTTAACATGAACATGAACATTTATATCGTATCAAAGTGCGCGATCAAATTTTTCTATAATATTCACTCACATCACCACATGGAAAGGAATTTGGTCATAGTATCAATATGATTAACCATGTTGGTACTTTCTGTACTTTTCAAATTGGTCTCTTTTGGGTACCTGGAAATACAGTTTGACATAAGTGAGGGTTTTATCCCTACTAGGGGACAATTCAATTTCATTCACACAACTCGACTTTCATTCCCTCTAGCAGTCATCCAAATGGAATTGAATTTTAGACCATCAACCTGTTTATACAAAATATTCCAGGGTTTATTTATCTTTAACACGTATTATGACTTCATCCATTCTACAGGATTTATTGAAGCAGCTTTTGTTGATCTCTTAGATTTGGATGAATTTAACTATATACTCAAAAGAATCCGTATCCAAAAACAATTTTCTCGTCCATGCACATAAGATAAAACAAGTCATATTTGATAAATCCAATTACACGTTCTTGATTTTTTAAAATATGTAGTTGAGAAATTTGAACAAGTACTGAAAACATTACAATCCAAAATAACTTCACAAGTCCTAAGACTTCATCATCCCCTCAACAACAATCTTGATATCCATGAAAGTTCAAAGAATTGGCATTTTCTGGATTTATATAGAAAGGAAGGAGCAACCAACAACAAATAGTGCCCCAAGAAACAAAAGGAGTAAGATGTGATAACAAGTATCAAAATTTAGGAAAGAAATAAATGAGATCACAATTCAGTCACACAACACAGTTATAAAACTCTAATGTTAATGCAATGAGGGATGATGATGCATGTTGAAAATCCATGTGTAGTTGTTAGTAGTCTAAGTAAAAAATTCTTAACAAAACTTTTTATGTGACTTTGGGATCCACACCTATTCTTTGTTAGGAGTTCTACTAGCCAGTTAGATATTCATATAATGATGGGGACTCGATCCTCCAACTACTGCAACTAGCTGCACCAACATTATATGTCTCAAGAGTAAGTAAGGATAAAAGAGTCCTATGCAGATACACACAGTCAGAGTCTTTTGCCAAGGTCACCAGAGGACTATTAGAGAGACTCAAACTGTGATTATCTTTTAGGTTGTCGTGACATCCCTCTATACCATTCATCTTGCATCAAATCGTGATATAGTGATATCCTTTTCCATAGGAGAGAGACATTTATACCCGTTGGTTATCTGAATAGTTTAAATTTATTCATTTCACATTTTGCCACACCAGTGATGCAGACAATTTCTTCAAGGGCTATGCCTCTTTTCAACTATTTAGACCTTATAAATTGAAATTGGCAAGTACTCATTCTCATACTTTCATGCATGCCTTTTAGCAAATTTTGAATCACCTTCCCTACCTCTTTTCCTTAAGGCTTATATATTTAATTCCTATGGGTTCTAATTGTCTTTTTTTAAGAAAATATGGTTTTTACACAACACTTAAAAATTCATTTATTAATTTAAATCTTAATGTCTCAGGGTAAAGCGATAACTCAATAGTCATAGTATGGTTTACATGCTAATACTCTGTGTTTTCACTAAAGCCTGTGTTCTCATAATAATTTTTGTTCACAAATGGGGAGTTTCAATCCACCTAACCGTGTTCATGTATGCTATGTATGCCATCACACACAATAGACCACTAGTACCAAAATTTCATTTTTGAAGTTCATCATTTCAAAAGTTAGAATCAGCTACGTGCATTCAAATCAAGCAAATGCAATCAACAGGTCCAAAGCTAAAATCAAGCATTTAGAATTTCAAGATTAAGGGGACTCTATCCCATTCATTTCAATTTTCCTTACTAGCTACTTGAAAACATCTCCCCTTGCCGGTTTTTATGAAAGAGTTGGCATTTGCTGAATGCATGGAATGCCTAAGTGGTTCCTATATGAAAGAACACGTACATGTAACAATTTAGGGGTAATAACCATCAATATCTTCTAAATCAACTCAGTCAAAACGGAATATGTGACTAAGTGTTTATTTCCTTAAGGTTTAGAAGTTCGCCAATTGTTACAATTACCAATTTAGGTGTGACTGATAGCAAAGTTGTTCAATTTGGACGCAGAATGGCTTCTTGGAAAACTAAAACTGCAAGGAATATTATAGGTCAGTCACCTTGCAAAACTTGGACTAGATTCAAACAAAAGGCTGTTATGCTAAAGAGTCTATATTTGAGGTAGGTGTAGTGTTTGGTGCATAACTAATTGAGTTGTGATCTAAATTAAGCCCAACCAATTTTTTTTAAAAGCTAAGACATTTAGGTTTCTAAAATGTGTTACATGCAATTTTTTGCGAGTACTGATTGGTCCCGGTTCAGCACTCACGTTTATGCAGACTTTGCTGTTTTCTGAAGTGAAACCTCCACTTAAAAACAGTTTTTGAGTTTTGGGTCAAAAGTGGGAAAATTGTTGTCCAAATCCAATTCTGTAAGAAGGGTTTGAAAGCTAACATCCTAAGGGTTGTGAAAATGTGTTCAAGATAATTTTTCATACACCTATGTGTATACGGTACAGAATAGTCATTTTGCAGAGTAGTAACTCTACTGTTGTAGAATGGATGACAGCTTCAAGTAGTTCACTTCATGCATGCAATTGAATGATCAAACGAGGTTCAAATTGTGCATATGATAGCTTGATGTAAAGGTCTCATTACAAGGATTCAGAAATGCACATGCATGTTCATAAAGTTATATGGAAAGAGGTTTAAAAATGCATTATTTTTGCTGTTTTTAGAAAATTTCAAAATCTGATACAGCATGATGAAATTTTTTTTTTTCTCATTGATCCTTGGTCCTAATCTTGTTCCGAAAAAAGATATGTGTAGCTAATTGAATTATACATAGGGTTTGATAAGAGTTGAATCAAAATGAGAGTTTTAGAGGGTCAGATTATGCAGAAGAAAGTGCATATATGCACTGAAAACTTGGATTTTGCAGAATTCTGATGAGTTCTGTGGGATTACCTTATCCAGCTGAGTATTAGTGGGTAATTCTCCTTCAAATGCTTGGTTCTCTCTATTCTTCTTTTGGTGTGATCATGGTGGTCTGTCAAGAGTAGTGTCCCTTTATTAAAACCAAGGAAAAGAGTGGAGGAGTGAAGACAAGGTGGAGATCAAATGCACGTGGAAAGGGGTAAGGACCATTGGTTGTTTCTTACCTCTGTTCTCAATTTTTTTTGAGTAAGGATGGAAAAGTGTTAGCAAGTGACCTAGCTGAATATGCAGAGTGATCCCCAGTATTCTTGAGTTTGGAAGTGAGGTGCAATGGTGAGGGGCAAGGAAGGTGAACTCCCGGTGTCTTCACGCATCCCAGTTGACGTGTAAAGTGGTTCCATGGAAAATTAATGGGTGCATGTTCCAATCTAAGTGTAAGTGTTGGCAGTGTCCAAGGCATCTTTCTTTCTTATTAATAAAAAAAGCAATAATTAAAGGTTCTATTTTCTGATAGTTGAAAAACGGGATGTTACAGGGGACACAAGGAAAGATATTCTAACGCTTTAGTCAATGATGATACCAGCAGAGTAATGGTATAGGATGTGCGAGGGAAGCCCGCTTGGACGCATTGGGATTACCTATTACCTATTGCACATGTATGAATTATTGGTTATTGCAAGCTAGGATATATTGGTGGGCATAATAGTATCAGTATGCCATCAAAGCAGGTCAAATGGGATGTTATTAAATACATTAGCAATATTGAAAAGAAAAAGATATATTAGAAATATTTTTGCTTAAGATTTTTCAACCTGTTAAAATAAAAGTTAGTGTCCATATCCATTGTCTCCCACCGAGATCATGCATAAACTCGATAACAAGACTTCTACGAAAACAATGTCAGGCCTGGTGTTTGTTAGAGTTGTATAGTCTAATTAGTTCCACATGTTATTTTTAAGGAACTTTCCCTTACTATTAGTGTATATATATGTGCGACAACTTGTAAACTTCTTGTGTCGATAAGAATTATTTCCCTAGGGTAACCATGGATACAGGTGATGTGATAAACCACTTTAAATTCTTGTTTCATTTCTCTCTCTTTTTATCTTCTTTCCCTTTGCTCCAAACATTGTGAGCTAGATAAATCAGCTTTCCCTACTGTAGCTAGTGGTTCTTTCCATGGGGGAAGTAGTGAGAGAGTCTTTAGTTTAGAGGAAGCAGAGGGAGCAATGACATTTGAAGAAAGAAAGGTGAAGATTAAGAAGCATGATGGCAGAGACTACAAATAGAGGATTATATGTGACAAAAGGAGTTGTATCAATCCTTGACAGGAAAGAAGGCAACGACAAAAAGCAGACAACTTGGGAATTATTAGATTGACAAACTCTTAGTATGATCAAATTCACATTGGCTAAGAATGTCATATTGAATGAGAAGACTACTGTAGAACTTATGAAGGCATTATCAAATATATAAGAGAAACCAATAATTATGTGATTGATCAAATTAATGAATGCAATACAATTCTTGTCTAGTTGGCATTAGAGCATATCACTTTTGATTATAAGGTTAAGGTGTTGATTCTATTATCATTCCTATCGGATAATTGGGTTGCAACTGTTATTGTAGGTCAGTAGTTTTGTTAGAAATAATAAGCTAAAGCTTGATGGCATTTAAGACATGATCTTACTTGAGGATTCAGCTAAGAGAGTATTTTAGTCCTGTTTTTAATTCAGCGTTGATCAGTGAATGACGGCTTGTTCTTGTACCAAATGTGTAAACTAGAACTCTTAGCATGAGAAATAAGGAAACAAAATCATGTGCTCCAACAAATTGTCAGCAAAAGACAGTGATCACAATTAGTCCTTTTCCAGAATCACCGATTAACAAAGCTATACGTTTTCTTTCCTCCATTTTATAAACTTCTTCCTGTGAATAAGCTTGAAGAAAGGCATTCTTCTCATTATGCTGATCCAGAGGTCAATAATGATAAGCTTACAAAGAGATGAATAGGAAAACTCAGTTAATGCATCCATGGTAAAGTTTTCAAATTAATCAACACCATAAGTTTGAGTATAGTCCTTGGCAACTAGTCAAAGCCTTGTAACAAGCAACAGTCCCTTGTAGTTTCTTTACAATAACAACAAATAGGGTGTTCCCGAATAACAAGATGCATTATAGTCCTTGGATAGGTTCTTATTTAGTTCAGGAGTAAAAAATTTCTTACATTACACCATATCAATCAGAACAGAAATATATATATATATATATATATATATATATATATATATATATATAATTTTGTTGCTTTCACTGTTTGAGTGGATTCACTTTTGTGAGATCACTATACCAGATGTTGGTAACTTCTCATAGGATAAAGCAAGATTTTTGTTGTCACTTGTCAGACATCCTCAATTGAATGGTTCAGAGTTACAGTCTATTTGTCAGTCCACATTCATCTTCATCACCACAAAATAGCTAAAGTTTTAGGGATACTCGGTTATAATTGAATGACACATAAACAGATCTTTATTGAACTAGAAGGAAATATTATCACCGTTGGAATGAAGGAATAAATTGTAACATTTATAAAAGTAAAAGGTAACGCTTTCAACTTTTCTCCTAAATTATGGTTGTATGTTAATATATAACGAGTAATATGTACTTTAGTCTATAAATAAAAATAAAAAAAAGCTACTTTAGTCAAAGTTTTATTCATGAGAAGAGAAATACTTTGTAGTTGCATAGCTTAGAATTTTGTTTGCACACTTAGGAATGATTTAACACTCATGGGCATTGAATGGTGGATGCAGATTGTAATTGTAACAAAGGAGGCTGAGAGAAGGGAATTTATAAGAGAGGTTGGTGAAGAGGTTCTCCCAGAAGAGTATGGTGGAAAAGCTAAGCTTGTAGCCATCCAAGATGTTGAATTGGCACCACTGCAAAATGGAGCAACAAATTGATTGAGGAGACAACTCAAATAAAAAGCTAATCATGTCGAAGAAACAACTCGAAATTCGTGTCTTATCCATTCATGTTTCATGTCTTGCTTATATCCTTAGTTAATGTTTATTTTGTTCAAAATTTTAAATTCAATCTTTACAAAATTAAGAATGTACAAAAAACTAATACTAAACTAATATGCCAAAAACATGATAAACTTTTATTAGTAAACGCAAATGAAGTTTGACAAATACATCAATTATTTTAATGAGTAAAGTTAAGATCGTTCCCACGAGATTATATTCTTAGTTTAACAATATGTATTAAGATTAGTGAACACTAAACTTGTAGCATGTTTGTGGAATTTTGTTAAATCTTGGAAACTAAGACTAAGAATAATAGAAATTATGATACAAAACAAAATTCAATGTACAAACATTGATTGAAGTTGGCTTATAGTACAAGAAAACCTAAAAATGCATATTTGAAGTAGAAGTTAAGTTGTAAAGTTCAAAAACAATTAACTAGGGTAAAGTTCAAAGAAAAATTGGTTAGAAATTGAATTTCATATGAAACTTTTCACTTCATGCAAAAACACAAAAGCTCTAACTCACTTTTCACAATAACATTGCATCAAGTAAAAATGATTGTAATCATGAGAAATGTAACATCCTTATTTTGATGGTTATGTATTGTATTTTATTTTTCTAAATAGAAAATTTTAAATTTTAAAAATTATACGAGATCTTACTCAAGCGATATATGTCTCACTCAAGTAAGACTAGTTACTTTGGACCACACATTTTAGAGCATTCTCACTCAGGAGAGATGAGTATCGCTCAGGAAAGAATGAATAAGATCAACCCAATTGTACTCTCGTCCAAGCAAGAAGCTTCTCGCTCAGGTGAAAACGCACAAAAAGGGTATAAAAGGAAATCCAGTATTATAAACTTGCATTACAAGTCAAGCAACATTTCTCACTTTCATTCTCTGACCTATCACTCCCTTTCTCAACTAAATCATCTTGAGAACTCCAAACTTCTCTTAAATCCGAACTTGGATGTCTCTTCCTCTTGATTCAAAATAAGTTCTTTAGAGCTCTATCTTCTTATCTTACTTCTATTTTATTTTATTTTTCTTTTTCAAAGTTAGCCTTTTTTGTAATATATAGGAAGAACTTGGTCTTTAGACGATATCTTCCACAAAACTCTTCACAAATCATCTATTTGATGTAAAGAGAGTTTTATCCCATCGTTAAAACGTTGTATGTATTTTATGCTCATGAAAGTGTGATAGTGTGCTTCTTTATTTCATAAATATATGTTTAAATTAAATTTTTGACTGTTTGTTAAAGTTGATAACCAATCCTCAAAGACCTATTAGGCTAACTGAGTAAATGTAGAGAGTAGACTAAATTATGTATTTAGAGAATTACAAAGAGTTTGCCACTTTAAATTTATAGTAGCTAGTGAAAATGAGTCTGATGATGTTTTTACCTTAGCAATCACAGTAGGGTATAATATTCCTTTTTATTCCTTTTTATTCAAGCTGTACATATATAAAGGGATCGTTAGAACATTAGCTATAGTAAATTATGTTTATACCTTCTATGACTACGATTATATTGGAAGTTCGATTAAATTTTATCTAAGAACAAATAACTGGCACAGAGGTTGTTGTAGATATTAAAAATTATTATGATAAATACCTCACTTAAGAAGAGATGAAAGAAGTTTAGAGTTAGTTTAATGATGATGACTAGAATCATATTTTTCAAGTTGTCGGTGTGGAGATAACTGCTCATTAAGATTTAGAATATTTTAATCTTGTAATTATTTAAATTTAAGTCCTAATGTACTTCTGATTATAACTTGTAAATATTAAACTCCTATTCTTAAGTAATATCTAATATGTTTATTCCTTATGCTGTTCAAGTTAAATTTTTATTCGGCAAGTTTTGCTATAACAGTACAAGTTCAGTTATATTCTAACTTTTGTCATTTTGAATGATAAACTATTCACAAATAAAATTCTTAAGAGTGAAAGTTTAAATTTTTGTAAATTTTTCATATCACGATCAAAAGATATTCAATTAAAAATTTTAAATTATTTATAGATTACAAATAAAAATGAATAATAAAATAAGAGTTTTCCAAGAAAGAAAAATGGGGTACATTTTCTTGTAAGGAATTCATATATAAAACCATAGTACATTTTTCAATTAAAGACCGTGAATATAGTTGGAGCCTGCAAGCTCTTCCTCGATAACTTATCAAACATTAATCATTTTTTCAATCTCTCGTGGGGCGTCTAGGCCAAGTGAAAGTTGGGTCAACTTATTCCCTGTTTTCTGTTGTTGTAGTTCTTCTTCTGTGGCCATTTGATTCAATTAATCTGGCTAATTGATTACTTGGGTTAGGCTTACGTTGCTGATTTTTTATTGTTATTTTTAATTATCCCCTTTTCTTTGTCAAGGGAAGGTTGGATTCCTCTTTATTTAAGACTAGTACATATAATAATAATAATAATAATAATAATAATGTTGATTATTATGATAAATATATAAATAAAATTGGAAAAGTTTCTCTTTTCTATTATGGTAAATGACTTTATCTCTTCTAATTATTTTGGGTAAATATTGACTTGTAAGCTCGTTGGTGTAAGTACACTTGTGTGGCTTTGTTTGTTGTTAGTTTATTTTTTATTTAAATATAAAAATCGTTGATTAGGTATGTTAATAAATATAGTTTTTCATTGTTTGGTCAAAAGGTATCTTGAGCTCTAAAAATGTACGTTATTGTGGTAGTTTGAAAATAATACATGACAATGACAGAACAAAATTGGAGATAAATTATCCATTAAGTAGATGGATATTACAATTGAATTTGTTAGGGGCAGATTTGGATTACAATCTTACTAATAATAACTAGTTGCACGGGCTTATTTATAATTTTATTAAATTATTTTATTTAAAATTAATTTCAAAAGTTATATTTTAAATATATAAAAAATATGTCTTAAAAATATGAAAACTTTATTATTTATTAAACTGTAATAAAAATTATTATAAAAATAATATCAAATATAATTACATTGAAGAAGATTATAAAATATTTTATTGTTTTATTAATTTAGCTTTTGTATTTATTTAAATTTTATCTAAAATTAATAGGTATATTAATCATTTATGAGTTCAATTAAGAATTAGTAATAAAAAAATTAACTATATAATTATTAAATGATAAAATAATATTTTATAAGTAAGCAATTAAAGTAATAATAATTAATTTGAATTAAATTAAAATAATAATAATTAAATTTTAAACATAAGTAATATAAATATATTATTTCAATGTTGCATAAAATTTTTAAAATATAATAATAAATATAATTTTAATATAAATACCTCAAAATTACGTTTAATAGGTGTAAATTCAACAAAAATTATTGTTTAACCAAATATAAGATATATTGTAATGGATGCAAATACGAGATATATTAAAATAAAATTTGTTTGAACTGAGTTTATTTTTTATTTTCCAATTAAATTGATGCAAATATTAATATAACTTTATTCAATAGATTGTGTATAAAAGTGTTGACTTGTGATTTTAAAAAAGAATATTTAACCTTTGGTACAAAACTTGTGTCATAATAAGTCATTGTACATTAACTATTTAAAGTGTTCCATAATTGTAATATTTACACTCTTATTTTTTAATCATTTATTGTAAAATTGAAAATATGAAGAAAGGTTTATTGATTTTTATTGAAGATATTCATCTTAAAAAATGAATGAAAATCATAAAAATAAATATATTGATTGAAAATTGTCAATGTACTGATAGAGTTGACTGTCTACTAAAAGAAGAAAGTAACAAATAAAGGTATCAAAATTGATCCAAAAGCAAAAGAAAATAAAATCAAGAAAGAAAACCTATATTAGTAATTTTAAAACAGAAATGAGATACAATTTTAAACTACAAAACATAACAAATACTCAACCTAATTCAGAAAACAAGAAAACAAAATTCAGAAAGAATAGAAAATTGATATTAAACTAATTTCTACACTTATTATTGAACAAAGAAAATACTCAACCTAATTCACAAAAATAGAAAAAAAATTTCAAAAAGAATAGAAATTTGATATTAAAACTAATTTATGCACTTATTATTGAACAAAAATTATAATCTCTAACAACGGTGCCGAAACTATGATAAACTTGTATTAACAAATGCAAACAAAACTTAATATGTGCACTAATTATTTTAAAGGGTAAAATTAAGATCATTTTCATGAGGATTACATTCTTAGTTCAACAATATGTATAGAGATTAGTGAACACCATATTTGAAAGCATGTTTATTTTCAATAAACCTTGGAAAATAAGACTTAAAATGGTGGAAACTATGATAGAAAATAAAGTTCAATGCATGAACAGTAATTAAACTTGGTTTATAGTACCCAAAAAAAATAAATCTAAAAATGCATATTTGAAGTAGAAGTTTAGGAAATAAAATTTTAACAGATGATGATGGGATTAAAAACAAGATTTAACTTAAGAATTCAGAAATATATGGATGAAGTTCAAAAACAAATAACTAAGGTAAAATTAAAAGAGAAATTAGTTAGGAATTGGATTTTATCTAAAAATTTTACTTCTTGAATAAACACAAAAGTTCTGGCTTAGTTTTTCACAACAACAATAATAATAATGAGGTTAGAAATTTTTTTATCCTTTCTATAAAATCCAATGCCAGATCAAAATAAGAGATAAATTCTCCACTAAGTAGATAGGTATTAGAATTGAATTGATTTAGGCCTCATTGTAATTATATATTTTTTTTTCTAGACAACAAGTTAAAATATTATATTTTAAATATAAAAATATGTTTTAAAAATATAAAATTATTATTTATTAAAATGTAATAAAAATTATCATAAAAATAATATCAAATATAGTTATATTGAAAAAGACTACTATACTTTATTGTGTTATTAATTTAGTTTGTGTTTGTTAAAAAATTTTAATTATATTTAAAAGAAATTTATAATCATTTATTATTTTAATTAATAATAATTATTAAAAAATTAATTACATAATAATTAAATGATAAATAACATTTAAGAAAATAAGCAATTGAAGTAACAATGATTAATTTAAATAAAAAGTAAAAGGATAACAATTAAATTTAAAACATAAGTAATACAAATATATTATTTTATTGTTTTCATAAATTAAAAATATAATAAATATAATTTTAATATAAATACCAAAAAGTTTATATCCTAATAGATATAAATTCAACAAAATTTATTTTTCAATCAAATATGAAATATATTATAATAGATGCAAATGTTAGATATATTAAAGTAAAGTCCATTTAGATAGAGTTTATTTTTTATAATTGAATCAAATTAATGCAAATATTAATATAACTTTATTTAATAAATTGTGTATAGAAGCATTGACCTTTGACTTTAAAAAAGCATATATGTGTATAAAATTTATATCATAATAAGTGATACATTAACTATTTTGATGTAACTTTATTATTTAAAGTATTTTATAATCATGATCATTTGTTGTAAATTGAGAATGTAAAAAAAAAGTTTATTCATCTTTATTGAAATGTTTTAAACTTATTTAAAGTTACATTTTAAAAAATATTACAATCTATTAAAAAAATTAATATTTTATCAAATATAACATACATACGCAGGTGTGTACACATAATTAGAATCAAATTTTAATTAAAGAACCCAATTATTTATCAATCATATCAAACTTTGTTTATACCGTTAGAGTCCATTCATTTTAAATTTTGGTAGAATAAATTTTGAGATATATAAAATAAAAAATATTTTGGATTTGAGAATAACATTATAAAATGGAATTTAAAAAATAATTTTATTTGAATAATAAAATAAAATAATTTTCATAATATAAATATAATTATGATTTATAATTTTCGTACATAATTTATTCTTTAACAGAAAAAATGCGCATTTTTCTCAAACTATTTTTTTTTATCACTCAATAAAATTGACCTCGCTAAATTGGTCTCCCACCATGTGTTAGTTTGACTGTTGCCAACAACCGTTTTTATTTTGGTTGGATTTTAGACTGCTGCTTTAAAGAATATTTATAGTTTTTTAGTTTAAATTTTATATAACTTTAGTAAAATTGTTTTTAGCTAATTATTTTTTAAAATCAAATAAATTATTTCTTTTTGTTCAACTCCTTTTACCAATTATTATTTTCTTGAATTCATTAAATAATTTTTCTTCAAATTTAATGACCAAAGCATTAAATTTTACCTAATTTTTTTTATTTAAACCCCAATTTTCTCTTTATTAATTCTTTCATATTTCATAGAGTTTTTAAAATCATTTTGTATCTCATATCTATCATGAGATCTCTTGGATAAAAAAAATAATTTAAAGATTTTAATTAAAAATATAAAAAGGTAATTTTATTCAATTTTTGAAAACTAACTTTATTAACTTAAAATATTTTAACGAATTAAAAATATGCATAATTTACATGAAAGTCTGTGTACAGTTAAGCATTTGTCAGACGCTTGAAAAATATTTATTTTTTTAAAAATAAATTTAAATGTTATATTTTTATATTTTAAAAATATATACTTATAATTATATTTAAAAGTAATTTATTTATCATCTAAACATTAAAGAATTTAAATCAACCTGGAGATATATCATTCAATTCTTTTAATATTATTTATTAAAAACAACTTTATTACTGCAATTTAAGTTAAACAAGATCAAAATAATAATTTCCATAACATTTGAACATAAAAGAAATTTAATAACATATCTTTTTATATCTTTTATAGTTTTTTATGGTACGTTTAAACATACAAAATAATAAATAATAAAATTTTATTGAATATGATAATATTTATGGTTATTATGCATTTTCTAATATATTAAGTCTTAAATATTTAATTATATATATATATAAAGAATAAATTATATTTATATGTTGTAAGATTTAATTAAAATTTCTCCATATACTTTCTAATTTTTTATATTATTTTACCTTCTCTAATTCATATAATTGCATAAAAAACTGAGAATGACAATGGTATGATCGAGGAGGGTATACACTGTTATATTATTATACGAATTAAAGAAAGTACGCGAAGGATGGACAAAGAAAATAACATCAAATAAAATTTTGTAAAAAGTTAGAGAGTGTAATTTATTTTAAAAAATTAACAACCTTATTAAAAAAGCATCCTATTAATTAATATCTAATTATATTAAAAATTAAAAAAAATTGTAGAATCAAATTTTGTTTAATAAAAATGTTTTACTCAAATTCCTTAAATTGTGAAGAATAAAAGTGGGTGGCTTAACCATATATGCGTTGGGACAAGTGCGATAAAACCGTAATAAAGAGTCCAACTCAGGAAACACCAACCCACATCCAATGAAAGCGCTGTTTTTAATTCGCTCGTAACTATTTACTACACTCAAAGGTGAAAGAAAGCATTACCTGTTATGTTAGTCTGTTTCATTCATATGCATTACAACCCATCCATTTCAAAGCAAGTGGGTCCCACACGCTGTTCATTCATGTTCATGTTAACCAACCCAACGTTTCACTCTCTCTGTGCCTTCTCTTCTCCCTCTTTCTCCGCCGTGTAATTATATTCCAATTCTTTCCTAAAAGAAAATTCTTTTATTTTATTCCAAAAAGAAAATTCCCTTTTTTTGCTCTCTTCCCTTTTGGGGAATCCTTATCAAGTGCACAATGCTATGTGAGTGAGTGATCACAAAAAAAACAAGAAAACAAACTTTGTTGTGTTTTCTTCTTTTTATTCTCCATTCTGCTCAAACCTTCACCACCCTTTTGTGTTTTCTATGAGAGTAATGATGAAAACCCATCTGGGTATTGCTCTTTGCCTTGTGATGTTTCAGTGTGCATGGTCTCAGGATGATGGTGTTGTCATGAACATGCTCAAGAAGGGGATCAAAGCTCCCAGTGATCTTCAATGGACAGACCCAGATGTGTGTAAATGGGAACATGTTCAGTGCAATTCAATGAAGAGGGTCATTGCAATTCAAATTGGGATGTTGAGCCTTGAAGGTTCTTTGCCAAAGGAACTGGTGCAACTCTCAGAATTGACGCGTTTTGAGTGCATGAAAAATGGCCTAACAGGGCCATTCCCTTACATGCCAAAGTCCTTGCAGAGGCTTATCATCCATGACAACAATTTCAGCTCCATACCAAGTGATTTCTTCTCCACAATGACAAATTTGCAAGAGGTGAGAATTGACTACAACCCTTTCCCTCAGTGGGAGGTTCCTGCTAGCCTCAAGGACTGTGTGGCCCTTCAGATTTTCTCTGCAATTAGTACTGGTCTTGTTGGGACAATCCCAGATTTTTTGGGCAAAGATGGTCCCTTTCCAGGTTTAGTTTTCTTGGGCTTGTGTTTTAATTTTCTTGAAGGTGGCTTGCCTGCAACCTTTTCTGGAAGTTCCATAGAGAACCTTTTGGTGAATGGTCAGAAAAGTAACAATAAACTCAATGGTACTCTTGCTGTGTTACAGAACATGACATCTTTGAAGCAAATTTGGGCACATGGTAACTCATTCACGGGTCCTATACCCGACTTGTCGAGCCATGACCAACTGTTTGATGTGAGTTTGAGGGATAACCAATTGACTGGGGTTGTTCCACCCTCCCTCATTTCTCTTCCTGCTCTTACTGTTGTCAATTTGACAAATAACTATCTTCAAGGGTCCCCTCCCAAGTTCAAAGATGGGGTGAGAGTTGATGATGATTTGGAGAGGGGGATCAATAGGTTTTGCACAAAGGTGGCTGGCCAGCCATGTAGTCCCCTTGTGGATGCTTTACTTTCTGTTGTTGAACCTTTGGGTTACCCTTTACATCTTGCTGATAGTTGGCAGGGTAATGACCCTTGTGCTAAACAATGGATTGGGATTGTTTGCGCAGGTGGTAACATTTCAATTGTTAACTTTCAGAACATGGGTCTATCTGGCAAAATTTCCCCCAGTTTCGCAAGGCTTACATCTGTCACAAAGTTGCTTCTTGCTAACAATGGCCTTACTGGTACCGTACCAAGTGAACTCACTAGCATGCCTCTTTTGAAAGAGCTAGATGTTTCCAATAATAAATTGTATGGTAAGGTACCGTCTTTCCGTGGAGATGTGGTTCTCAAAACTGGTGGCAATCCTGATATAGGAAAGGATGAACCTCGAGCCCCACCTGGCTCAGATTCTGGGGGTGGTTCTAGAGGTGAAAGTAAGAAACATAGAACTGGAGCAATTGTTGGCACTGTGGTGGGGAGTGTCAGTTTACTTGGTATAGGGGCCCTGGTGTTTATTTATGGTAGAAAACATAAGCGTGGTGGAAAAGTCCAAAGTCCTAATACAATAGTTGTGCATCCTCGCCATTCTGGAGATGGAAATGCTGTGAAGATAAGTGTTGCGACTGCAGGTTCTGGTGTTGGTGGTGGTGGAGATGGAACCGGTGCGTTTAGTCCAACAACAAGTAGTGTTCATCATGTGGAAGCTGGTAATATGGTGATTTCAATTCAAGTTTTGAGAGAAGTCACAAACAATTTTAGTGAAGGAAACGTGTTGGGGAGGGGTGGTTTTGGCACTGTGTACCAAGGAGAATTGCATGATGGAACAAAGATTGCAGTGAAAAGGATGGAATCAGGATTGGCCGGTGAGAAGGGGCTGAGTGAGTTCAAATCTGAAATTGCAGTACTTACTAAGGTTAGACACAGGCATTTGGTTGCACTTCTTGGCCACTGCTTGGATGGAAATGAGAGGCTTCTCGTGTATGAATTCATGCCTCAAGGTCCTCTTAGTAAACATTTGTTTGACTGGAAGGAGGAAGGGGTACAACCACTGGAATGGAAGAGAAGGCTTTCCATTGCATTGGATGTTGCTAGAGGTGTTGAATATCTCCATGGTTTGGCACAACAAATTTTTATCCACAGGGATCTGAAGCCATCAAACATCTTGCTTGATGATGATATGCACGCTAAAGTTTCAGACTTTGGATTGGTTCGGCTCGCTCCGGAAGGACAAGCCTCGTTCGAGACCAGACTTGCTGGAACATTTGGATATTTGGCACCAGAGTATGCAGGTACACATTTGAATTATTTTTTGGAAATTTTGTTACATATGTTAATCTTTGAAATTTTCCTGTCTACCATTAGCAAGGATAAATATTATAATGAAGGAATGAAATGTTCCTACTTTAATTTCATCTGAACTCAGCTTCTGGAGATAGGGATGCAGAAACAGATTCATTGCAATACTCTTAACTACTAGTATACACTAGTTTCTCAACATTTGCGTGTTAGCAACTGCATTGAGAAAGAAAAGAGGACTGATTGTTTATTAAATTTATTATTAGAATGAAAAGTAACTTGGAAGTTAATTGAATTGTTTCAGTGTGCCTCCTAAAAGGCATTGAAATAACTTGTCGGATTTGCAATCCTCTATAGCCAATGTGCAGCCTTGTAGTGTACCTACCTCTATTTTAAGGGTTGATATTTAGTTTATAGTTAATTCGAAAGAAATGTTTGGTTTTACCATTGCCCATATAAGTGAGGGAACATGATTTATAATGCTTTACCTTGCATTATCTGTAACTCTATACATTGGTTGCTGCAAATAATATATTGAAACAAATCACTTGGCCAATCACATTTTGGCCTTTTTCTCTAATGGATCATTGGGACAAATAGTAAATGACATTCTAGCACAATGCTCATTTTCCTCTTTTCTTGTCCAAGTTCCTAACTCATTATGATTAACATGGTATGGGATTCTCGGCAGTGACCGGACGAGTTACTACAAAGGTTGATGTGTACAGCTACGGCGTGATTCTTATGGAGATGATAACAGGAAGAAGAGCAATTGACAACAGCCAACCAGAAGAGAATATCCACCTTGTGACATGGTTCCGCAGGATGCTACTGAACAAAGACTCATTTGGAAAGCTCATTGACCCCACAATTGATGTTGGAGATGAAGCCTTACCGAGCCTTAGGACTGTGGCAGAGTTGGCTGGCCACTGTTGTGCTAGGGAGCCTTACCAGAGGCCTGACATGGGTCATGTGGTGAATGTGTTGGCACCACTTGTTGAGATTTGGAAGCCTTCAGAACCAGATGGTGATGATTTATATGGCATTGACTTGGATATGACTTTGCCTCAAGCACTAAGTAAGTGGCAGGCTATTGAAGGAAAGGGCACCTTTGATATATCATCCTCTTCATCAATGCTTACTAGTGGAGATAATACACAGTCTAGCATACCAACTAGGCCTTCTGGATTTGCTGATTCCTTTACTTCTTCTGACGGAAGATGAAGTTTTGATAGGCACATACATCAATTCTTGTGTTTATGCTTGGACCTGTTTTTGGTTTGTTTATGTGTATCTAATTGCCCATATGTTACACCCTCTACATCTCAAAACTTCCCTTGAGTATCATGGTCTTTTTTGTTTATTGGATTTTGTTTCTAAATTTACTGTCATTGTAGAGATTCTGGGTTGCAAGAGGACTACAGAACAAATAGTTGAACTTTCAGATTTTCATTATTTAACTAGCCTTCATTCTAATGAGCATGAAAAACAGGATTTAGTTATCCATTTCATGATCAAATATATTGCTATATGCTGTAAATTATTAGTTTTCTTCTACCCAAATCCTTATTTTCAGATAATGAACATTCTCATTATATTATACTTTCCTAAATTATTTTTTATTTGTTCAGAGGAAGGGATAGGATTTAAAACCCACTTCTTACAGTCTATGTACCCGTAAATTATCACTAAGCTATCGAGGAAGGGATAGATAACTTATATTATAGGATAATTTTTTTTTCTCTTCTTACTCATAAGTCATACCTTTAATATTTTATAAATAATTAAATTATTTATAAAATATAATTTTAATATCTTTTGTAAAATATTATTGAACAGTATTTTAAATAAAAAATCTTTCATAAGGAAATTGAGAGTACATTTTTTATAATCGTAGTTTACTAATTTTATAATATTATTATTTTAATATAATTTATATATTATTTTATTATTTATTTATTTTAAACATTGAATAGAATATTAGATTTTATTATTCTAACGTGTACCAAATAGGAAAATAATTTATTATATTTTTATCATATCCTATCCTTATTCAATTGTCATGTTTAATTATTTTCTTGTTTGTCATATTTGTCAAACGTGTCTTAAAAGTATATTTTTATAGTATCATATTGCAGTTTATGTGTAACTCTTATTCTAATTTTAAATAATAATATTTTGATTTAGCTTTTTAATTATTTAAATTAATTCTCTTACATAAAAAATTCATCCAACGTTTTTTAGAAATGTAATAAATATCAAAATACTTACATCATAAAATTAATAATTTTTAAAAATTATTTTAACTTTTGAAAAAATGGATCAATTACAAGTATCTTGAAAAATTTACTTAAAAGAGTATTAATAGCATCTATTCAATAAATAATTCAATCTTTTTAATATGGGCTTAATTAATTTTTCATTAAAAGTTACAATATTTAATGTTATTAATATATTAAATTCACTAATTTTTTTTTATAGAAATTACTTCCTATACATAAATTTTTACTATGTTATTTTAAAAACACGTTAATTTTTTAAAAAGTAATTTTAGAACTGTTTTTCTGGCTCATTTGCTAAAATAATATATTTTAATAAAATAATTACGGAGGTTTCAAATAATTACTACTGATTATGACTGAAATTAAACAAAAAAGAAAAGAAAAGAAAAGAAAAGAAAAAGGTTTCTGTCTTTTTTATATTTTCCTTTTCAGCGCCTTAATTTATGGATGATTTTCTACAAAAGATGCCATACTTGTTAGAAAACTACGTGGTATACGGGTAAGCGACGATTACGGAGGTGATAACGAAATTAAAAATTTCATTTTAAACGAAAATATCTGATCTAAGAATATTTTCAAATTGGTTTCATTACAGAATCATATAAATCAATGATATATTATATTCTCACTACATTTTTAAAATAATTTTAATTTAAATACACTTTTAAATAAATATTATTTAGTTTTCTTAATTTAAGGATAAAAATTTATCCTACTTTTCTTATTTTTGAAGGCAGCGTAAGTATGGAATAATGTGATCTGAGAATATGAAAAGAAAATGTTGTCATTTACTGACTCTTGGAATAAAAGATGCTTGGGACATGAATGTGATATTATATGCTTTGATCATGGTCTTAGTTCCTTTTGTGTTTTTCACTGATTGTTATTCTATTCTTTCTTTTGTAGCGAATCTAAGTGCATCAAGATATATAAAATATCACAGATAAATTTTTACTTTCCTCTTCAATCAATCAAGAAAGAAATAGAAAGTAAATTATAAAATAAACAGCTAAAACGTAAACGAGAAAAAACCAAATCTGATTAAATTTTGAATATGTTAATTTGAAAACTAGGTTTATTTAAACTAAGCCTATGCGTATACAAAAGTATGCATCCTTAGGCAATTCAAATATACTTGTCTTCTATAAAGAATTTTCATAATTTATGCCAAATAATACTTTTTAACAGGCAAAGGAACAAAATAGGACAAGATATTTTTAACAAAGTCACAACATATATCTATCCCTATATTCCTTGTATTATAAATGACTTTTCTTTCTTGAATAGTAACATTTTTACCAGTTATAATTCACTTTCTTTTATCATTTTATTTTACTTTTTTATCTCACCTTTTAAAAAATATTTTTATTTATAATGTTTATTCATTTTAAATAATTTACTTAAATTTAAATTCAAACTTGTTTGGTTTAAAATTGAAATTTGATTTAATTAAAGATATATTTCCTTTTTAAATAAACTGAATCTTGAGTGTTATATATAATTTTAATAATCTTAAATTAAATTTACTTTTAGAAGTTAAATTTAAGTAAACTATTATTTTAGTTCTTATTATTTTTAAAATTCATCAAAATAATTCATAAATTAAGTAAAATATTATTTTAGTTTCTAACGTAGGTAATATTAATATTTTAATTCTTACTGTTTTTAAAATTTATGAAAATAATTTGTAAACTTGGTAACGTGGAATAATTGTTGTGGTTATTTTGAATCGCTACAATTTGTCCCAGCTTTGGCTATAATTTTAAACTAAATCTAGTATCACGCACTACCCAAGCGAATTACTAAGTTTTTAATATTATAGCCACAGCTGGTATTGCAGACCAACAAATGTACTTGGTAATTTAACATCAGAGAAAATGTTTATATTCAAATGAGAGAGTAAGCTAGATAACTCACTAACGACTAACTGTTAACTAGCTAATTATATTATTACAAGCAAGAGTAAAATAGTTTAAAATGAATTGAAAAAAATTATTCTTAAAAAATATATGTTAATAAATAAGACGCCTTTAAACAACGATAGAAACTAAAATATTTAATGATATGTGCTAAAAAATTAATAACTTATGATTACACATGTTAATGATTAAAATGGTATTTTGTTTAGTTAAAGTACTATTTTGATGAATTTTAAAAATAATAAAAATTAAAATTATTAATAATTACATACGTTAGAAATTAAAATAACATTTTACTAAATTTAAGGATTATTTTGATAAATTTTAAAATAATAGGATTGAAATGATAATTCACTCTTTTAGATTTTGATACATGTTATTGATGTGTATCGGTTAAAATGGAATTTTCAATTTTAATAGCTTTTTTTAATATAAAAATATTCAATATTATTAATAAAATATCTGTTATTATTTTATATTTGTTCATATATAAAGTTATTTATGGAATTGTCATACTCATGCATGCTATGAAGGGTTTTTTTATATTTAATATCCGTAAGATTTATTTTTGTATGTTTATTTTGCATAATTAAATTAATTTTAAATAATATTATTATAATAAAAAATAATATTAACTGTTTTAACTAAAAAATCATATCAAAATTATGACAAACCTGAATTTAATTTATACAATGTTTTTATTTAATTTTTTTATGATTAATGTGAAAATGATAATAATTTTGTACCCATGATATTTATTATAGTAATAAGTATATACAAAGGAGTGAAAGCTTTGATTATGAAAATATTATTTCAAATATCTAAGTTTATGATATAAAATATTATCCCTAATATTTGTCATAGTATACATTATAAGTTATATATTTTGTAAGTACATGTAGAAGGTTATATGAAAAATAATAGATAAAAAACTGTTAGAGCCTAAAGTGTGCACTGCACCGTAGCAATTAGCAATAGGGACAAAAATAAAGGACAAAGAAGCTAAACGATGTCATTTATGAAAGGAGATATGCTTTCTGGAACCTCTAATTCATATATAATTTAAGAACCTTAACTCTTTTAGATAAAAAAGAAAAAAAAAAAACTTAAGTCTGAACTGAAATCTAATCAATGCAATTTTTTTTAGTTAAACACGAGTCAAAGAGTCCTTGCAAGTTTTAGAGGTGGCAAAGTGGTCACCCTATGCTCTCATCAAAAATTTGTCCAAAAGTGAATTATTCTAATTTTTAAAAGTAGATTAAGAATTCTTGTTTAGTGAGAATGCTAGGAGGATACAATTGTAGGGAAAGAAATTGAGGAGGAATGAAGTAAAGTCCAAGCTTTTTCTATCATTAATCCTAAAATTTTGGAGAAGTACAAAGTAAGGAGTGTGTTCAAGGTACCACTATTGATATGACTAAGGAGGTGAGTCTTACCATGCCTCTACCTCATCTGTGATTATCCTAAGTTGGAATTGTCGTGGTGTTGGAGCTGGTGTGACGATTCAAGAATTAAAAGAGTTTTGTCATAAGTTTAAGCTTGCCATAAATTTTCTTATGGAAACCACAACATGTAGGAATAGAACGGAGAAAAATTGTGTTAGTTTAAAGTACTAAAGTAGTTATAATGTTGAGCCAATATATTTGCTTAGAGGTTTAGCTTTGTTATGGAATAAATGGTGGATATTAAGGTTTTCTCCTCCTCTCTTAACCTTATTCATATCCGTATAGGAGTTATAGAGGAACTTATTCATTGGAATTATTCCTTTGTGCATGGAAACCTGATCTCAAAGAGAGGAGAATCTTATTCAAAGTCTTCTTTCCCATTAGATAAGAATTACCCTTGGTGTTGTGTAAGAGATTCTAACAAAGTTCTGTACCAACATGAAAATTATGGTATTCAACCCTAATCAGATTAGAAAATTAAACAATTTTGAAGTTTTCTTGAGTCAATAGGACTAATTGTTATAGAGTTGAATGAGTGCAAATTCACTTCGACTAGTAATCTGAGGCAAGGCCAACTAATTAGAGAAAAGATCGACCGTGTCTTAGTTAATTGGCCCTAGATATTGGCTTTTCCCCATCCATTTGGTAAAACTTTCCTTGCCATAAGCTTTGACCACTCACCTATTATTATGGATTCCATGCCTAGGAAGAGCAATAGTAAAGCTTTCAAATATATAGCATTTTGGGAGGAAAATAAAAAAAGTAAGGAAGTAGTTGTTGAAGGGTGAAATAAGGAAAGGAACAATTTAGTAGGTTGAAAAGTTGTACTTTAAAATGTAGAAACCTATAAAAGAGCTCTTTCCCTAATGGAGCAAGAATAAATTTTGTAGACAAATGTGGAGATTGCTAAGCTAAAGTATAGTATGCAGAACATTATGAATGGCCTAA